GGTGGTGGGGATGGGTGGCCCCAAGCACCACACAGCCTCACTGTGCTTCAAACCCATCTCCTCTTGACCCTTTGGACAGGTTGGTGGCCAACTACGTGACCTTCGTGGTGGGGGAGATCCTGCTGCTCATCCTCACCCTCTGCTCGTTGGCTGCCATCTTCCCCCGGGTGAGACGGGGTGGGCTCTCCACTCAGGGTGACGGCACACTGCGATGTCCCACCACTGCGTTGTGCCTGGGGGGACCCCCTCCCCGCCTTCCTCTCCCCGCAGGTCTTCCCCAAAAAGCTCGTGGCCTTCTCCACCTGGATCGACAGGACCCGCTGGGCACGCAACACCTGGGCCATGGCCGCCATCATCATCGTCACCATGGCGGACATCGTGGACATGGTGAGCTACCAGCCCGGCTTCCTGCTGGGCTGAGCCTGCTCCAGCCTCCATCCAAGCAGCCCATAATTGTTCACGGCCTCATGCACGGCCAATCGTTAAAGCAATTAGCAGGGCTGCACTATGTGTGTGTGGGAAATGTAGGTCGGGTGTCTTCCTCCTGCTCTGCAAACACCCTCTCCCTTTGGGTGGCCACGCACCCTGTCCCCACATCCCCTTCCTCACCCTGCCCTCGTGCCCCCAGCTCAGCTGCCGGCAGGACCACGGTGGGATGGGCAACGGGACGGTGGGACCACCGCAGCCAGGCGGCTGTGAGGAGCAGCCCAAGTACTACAGCTACATCGCCCTGCTAGCCTTGGTGGCCACCATCATGCTGGTGCAGGTCAGCCACATGGTCAAGCTGACCCTCATGGTGCTGATCACCGGGGCCGCCGGTGCGGTCAACATCTACGCCTGGGAGCACATCTTCGACCAGTACGACCGCCGTCGTGGCCAGCAAAGCACGTAAGGGGTGGCAGTGGGGTGGACATGGGTTGGGGGACAGGTTGGGCGCCACGGCCATAACCATCACCCACCCACGCCTTGTCACCTCTGCTGGCAGGTCCTCGCTGGTGCCCTCCAAGTACTCCATGACGGCGATGATCTTCGTCGTGATGCTCAGCTTCTACTACTTCTCTCGCCACGTGAGTGACTCGCTCCCCACCCGGAGAAGCTCCCATCTTCTCTGCGTCTTCACCCTCAGCTCCTGCCCTTACTTTTTGCAAGCTCTAAGGCAGCAGGATTTGTCCCCAGCTGGGAACAGCATCTCCCACTCTTCTCCAAGGAAGCCCACCCAAGGGCTCTCCAGGACCACATCAGTGCAGACCATCACCTCCATCTTGCCCCCATGGTTGGGGGTGGGCAGCAACGTGGTGGCCCTAAGGCCCGTGCTGCGAGGATCCCGTTTGCACCTCAGAGTAGGTCTCATGTCCCCAGTCAGGGCTTCACCTTGTCCCAGAGCTGCCTTCTAGGGTCTCCCCACGCCCAGACTGGCCCCACAGCAACCAGGATGCTCCCAGTGCTGGAGAGGACCCGTTGGTGGGTGGGAACTGGGGGTACAGCCGTATCCCCTCACCCACAGGTGGAGAAGCTGGCCCGGACGAGCTTCCCCTCGAAGGTACGACCAGAAGGAGCGGGTCTACGAGATGCGGCGCTGGAACGAGGCCCTCGTCACCAACATGCTGCCCGAGCACGTGGCCCGGCACTTCCTGGGCTCCAAGAAGCGGGGCGAGGTGAAGGGCACGTGGGATGGGGGGGATTTCTCCTTATTTTTTTGGGGGGGACCCTCTGAATCCAGAGGCTTTGCTGAAGGCTCTGGCTGAGCATCTTTGGTTGGGTGACGATGATGTCTTGGCCATGCAAGGTGAGGATGCAGAGCACCCTCATTTTTTCACACGTGCCAAGGGAAGATGGCTTCACGGGAGGGTTTGGGTTTGCCAGAGGTGCTGGTGTCATGCGTTGGCACGTCCCCGGCTCACAGCCACCGTCCCATCCTGTCCCCAGGAGCTGTACAGCCAGTCCTACGATGAGATCGGCGTCATGTTCGCCTCCCTCCCCAACTTTGCTGACTTCTACACAGAGGAGAGCATCAACAACGGGGGCATCGAGTGCCTGCGGTTCCTCAATGAGATCATCTCCGACTTTGATGCGGTGAGTCGGGATGGAGCCAGCCATGGAGATGGTGTGGGGCTTGGCCAGACCTTCCCTTCTTGCCCCATCCTGGGACGGAAGGACCTTCTCTGGTCCCAGGGTGCCTGAGTGTCTCATCTCCACGGCTCAGCTCCTGGATGAACCCCAGTTCCGGTGCATCACCAAAATCAAAACCATCGGCAGCACCTACATGGCCGCTTCTGGAGTGACCCCCGATGCCAACGCCAATGGCTACAGCGCTAAGGTGAGGGGTCCCTGTGGTGGGGGACAGCAGGCGGGGGGTGGCCAGGCCTGACCCACGCTGCCCTTGCAGAAGGAGACCCTCTCGGATAAGGAGCGCTGGCAGCACTTGGCCGACCTGGCCGACTTTGCCTTGGCCATGAAGGTGACGCTGATGAACATCAACTACCAGTCCTTCAACAACTTCATGCTCCGCATAGGCAAGTCCGGGAGTGTGGGACAGGGTCTGCCTCGGTGTCCCCTGTCCCTCCTTCCCCACCAGTGGTGGGACGCTGGGCAGCAGCTCTAGTTCAGCAGCTGAAGGTGGCGGGCCTGGGAGGGGACATCGTTGCCCCAGTCTGCCCACCCTTGGGACAGACTCTCCTGCAGATTGGGATGTCCTCTCCATGTCACCAGGCACGGAGGTGACATCCACTCCCCTCCTTGCACAGGCATGAACAAGGGGGCCGTGCTGGCTGGCGTCA